CCCCCGTCTCCCTCTCTTTTTTTTTTTTTCATTCCCACTTTTTTTTTTGCCATCCCCCCCACCCCCCGGGCGCAAAACCAAAATCCCTAATCTCAACATCACTGTCTCTCTTACTCTCTCGTTTCTGCATCGATCACCCTCTCAGTCTCTCATTGTTCATCTCATCGCACCGATCATCATCGCACAGCCGATCTACTCACAAGTAAACTCTCTCTCTCAATCTCTGTCTCTCTCTCTCTCCCGATCGTTGATTTTTTTTGTTATATATATATATATATATCTCTGATCTGACCTAATCGGCTCCCTCACTCTCTCATCTCATCAGTCTCACACTCACTCTCTGGTTTTGCATCTCTGCACCGATCGACTCACACACGGGTAAATATGAATCTGTCTGTTAATCTGTGTTTGTTTTGGCACACCGATCGACTCTCACACTCACTCTCTGTGTTTGTTTTGGCCTCTATTTGGAATGTAAATATGAATCTGTTTTGATCTTAGTTGTGTCTTAGTTGAATCTCTTTGTTTTATTAATTGTGTTGTGTCTGTTATTAAATCTGAAATCAGAAAAATAGGTGGAATAATTTTGGTCTCTAATTGTGGAATTCATATTGTGTCTGTTATTGAATCTGTTTTGGCATCTAATTGTGTCCGAAGAAAGGGCACACCGTTCTGCTGAGGCTGTTGCGTTAAAAGATTACGATCACCGTTCTGCTGAGGCTGTTTGTACATAGATTGTATAGATTTTATTTGTTTATTGTATTTCTTCTCTTTCATTTGTTCGAAGAATGAGTTGTGTAGATTGTTCCGCAAAAAACCCTTTAGCTGTCAAGAGCTCTCTGATCGACCCAGATGGTGGGTCGTTGGTTGATCTCGTGGTGTCGGAGAGCCAAATGGATTTGAAGACTCTAGAGGCTGAATCAATGCCGAAGCTGAAGATAACAAAGGTTGATCTCGAATGGGTTCACGTGCTCAGCGAAGGTTGGGCGAGTCCGCTCATGAGAGAGGATGAGTATTTGCGGAGCTTGCATTTCAATTGTTTGAGAATGAAAGATGGGTCTATTGTGAACATGTCGTTGCCGATTGTTTTAGCCATTGATGACCAGGCTAAAGTAAGAATTGGGGCTTCGATTCATGTTGCATTGGTTGGTGTTCTTCGGAGGTTAGTCTTTCGATGCAATTAAATTGTTTCAGTGATTTTTTTAATACTCAGTTCGCTTTACGAAATGAAAATAGTTTTGTTGTAGATTGTCTGGTTACAAAATTCTTGATGGTTTATATTTTTCAATTATAAAATCCAAGTAACATCTAACATACTCTCAAAATTGTTGATTAGTTGAGAAGAAAATTTTATAGTACATCATATGCCAAATTATGATTTTGTGGTCTTTTGGTTACTTCCTATGTTATGACTTGGTCATGGCTGGTGGTCATGTGCTGAATTTAAGTATAGGTGGACCTGATTACTTGGATCTCCCATTTGTGGAGAAGGTAAGATTCCCTTTGGCCTTCTAATTGCAGTTTATATTTTAAAAATCACATAACATAATTGATTTATTTAATTTTCAAATTTTTATTTTATTTTATTTTAAATTTAATATTGTTTTTATGCTCACCGAATGCTTGCCTGTTTGCCACACTGTTTGTATACTCTATGCCAAGGTTCTAAATCGCGGTATCGGGTAACGTAACGGTATCGATCGCGGAGTATCGGTATCGGTAGTATCGATCGGTACGTATCGAGAATCGGGTGTCGCGGTGGTGAAATTTTAAAAATCATTTCAAAGGTTTTTTAACTTTTTCTTTCCCGTACCGGTCCGAACCGGTGAGTATCGGCCCGTCGCGGGTTGTGTAACGCTTACAGGCCGATACGTACCGGGACTCGGCCGATACTCCTGCGATTTTTAATCTCAGTGGTATATCGGCCTGTATCCGTCGCGGTACCCCATTTTTCCGATACGTATCGGCCGATACGTAGCGTATCGGCCGATATTTAGAACTATGCTCTATGCTTGAAGTAGTCTAGAGTTGCTTGTTGTCTATGACCTTAGAATAACGCAGTTATCTGGATGAACTTGTTTAGATCTTTAATATGCCTCAGGCATCTGATGCTTCAGGCTATTGCATGCATCCACTTGGTTCCATTTGAACTTTTGGATGATTCTTAAATTTGACGAGTGTTGTACTCATGCTTCTCAACATCTGGATAATCCTAGGGCATGTAGATTAGGATTTAAAAAGTATGTGGACCGTTAAATACCAAGTACTCCTTGTGAAAGTCATCCAAAATATAGAAAAATTTAGTTTGCAGGGTGGATCGGCTTTTCACTGGATATCTACTTGTGTATGTAAAAGCTTTTTTTTAAAACATTTATGTTGTTGGAACAAGGAAGTTCCATTTACATATGTAATATTCCGTGTTCTGCAATTTTCACCAGGTTTGGGAACTGACAGCAAATAATATTATCATGGTTTCGGCAATTGGAAATGATGGACCACTTTATGGTACTCTAAACAATCCAGCAGATCAAAGTGATGTTATTGGTGTCGGTGGCATTGATTACAGTGATCACATAGCCTCATTCTCCTCGCGGGGCATGAGTACTTGGGAGATTCCTCATGGGTAGCGTATCTGTATTTTTTCATTAAGTTCTAGTCCTTGTTTTTTTATTTGTCTGGTTTAATTTCATCCAGATTTTAGTTCTTTTTGGTTGTTAAAGGTGAAAACATCGGACCAAATGCTGACATGCCAAAGCACTAGCATTTCCAAGTTCCAACAAAGGAATATGAAAATATTAATTGTTTACTAGGACATATGTAATTTAGTTTCTAATATATTATTGTAATATGTCAAAATTTAAACTAAGGCCTTGTTTGGCATCCCTTAAAAAAGCCAAAAAGTTACTATCCTATTTAAGTCACATCATCTTATTTAAGTCACATAACCTTTCTACCACATCACTTCAAACCCAACCTATATTTTATAAAAAGTATTATTTTGCAGTCAATTTTCCATTTTTATAAGCATTATTTGAATTTTCCTGTTTAAGTCATTTTATATTTGAATTTTACATTTTATATTTTCATAGTTTGGTATTATACAACATAGTTTGGATTCACAGGCATTAACTCCTTTCTCATTTTATTCTCATTAGCCTCATTTCAAAAGCAGCAGTCAATGTGTCTTGGAAAGCTAATCTTTATTCTCAAAATTTAATGAATAAGTAAATTTCTGGTTACAAAATTCTTGATGGTTTATATTTTTCAATTATAAAATCCAAGTAACATCTAACATACTCTCAAAATTGTTGATTAGTTGAGAAGAAAATTTTATAGTACATCATATGCCAAATTATGATTTTGTGGTCTTTTGGTTACTTCCTATGTTATGACTTGGTCATGGCTGGTGGTCATGTGCTGAATTTAAGTATAGGTGGACCTGATTACTTGGATCTCCCATTTGTGGAGAAGGTAAGATTCCCTTTGGCCTTCTAATTGCAGTTTATATTTTAAAAATCACATAACATAATTGATTTATTTAATTTCCAAATTTTTATTTTATTTTATTTTAAATTTAATATTGTTTTTATGCTCACCGAATGCTTGCCTGTTTGCCACACTGTTTGTATACTCTATGCTTGAAGTAGTCTAGAGTTGCTTGTTGTCTATGACCTTAGAATAACGCAGTTATCTGGATGAACTTGTTTAGATCTTTAATATGCCTCAGGGATCTGATGCTTCAGGCTATTGCATGCATCCACTTGGTTCCATTTGAACTTTTGGATGATTCTTAAATTTGACGAGTTGTACTCATGCTTCTCAACATCTGGATAATCCTAGGGCATGTAGATTAGGATTTAAAAAGTGTGTGGACCGTTAAATACCAAGTACTCCTTGTGAAAGTCATTCAAACTATAGAAAAATTTAGTTTGCAGGGTGGATCGGCTTTTCACTGGATATCTACTTGTGTATGTAAAAGCTTTTTTTTAAAACATTTATGTTGTTGGAACAAGGAAGTTCCATTTACATATGTAATATTCCGTGTTCTGCAATTTTCACCAGGTCTGGGAACTGACAGCAAATAATATTATCATGGTTTCGGCAATTGGAAATGATGGACCACTTTATGGTACTCTAAACAATCCAGCAGATCTGGCATTGATTACAGTGATCACATAGCCTCATTCTCCTCACGGGGCATGAGTACTTGGGAGATTCCTCATGGGTAGCGTATCTGTATTTTTTCATTAAGTTCTAGTCCTTGTTTTTTTATTTGTCTGGTTTAATTTCATCAAGATTTTAGTTCTTTTTGGTTGTTAAAGGTGAAAACATCGGACCAAATGCTGACATGCCAAAGCACTAGCATTTCCAAGTTCCAACAAAGGAATATGAAAATATTAATTGTTTACTAGGACATATGTAATTTAGTTTCTAATATATTATTGTAATATGTCAAAATTTAAACTAAGGCTTTGTTTGGCATCCCTTAAAAAGCCAAAAAGTTACTATCCTATTTAAGTCACATCATCTTATTTAAGTCACATAACCTTTCTACCACATCATTTCAAACCCAACCTATATTTTATAAAAAGTAAAAAAGTACACTTATAGGCTTCAGTCCTTGCTTTGTCATAAAAAATCATGCTTCATGTCACCATTTGTTTGGATCATGTTACCTGTGGTGTCTGATTTGTCATCTGTCCATAGTTAATTCTATTTCCCGTCTTCCTTTTTTCCCACTTTCCTCTCTCTCCCTCTCTCCCCCAAGAAAATTATAAGAACAATGATAATGATTATAACTTGTATATAGTTAAGCTGATAAAATTGCCTTCTGTAACCATGAAAGTCTGCCTCTGCAGCTATGGGCGTGTGAAGCCAGATGTTGTTGCGTATGGTCGGGAAATTATGGGATCTAAGATCAGTACAGGTTGTAAAAGTTTATCTGGTACTAGTGTGGCAAGTCCGGTTGTTGCTGGTGTGGTATGCCTTCTTGTTAGTGTCATTCCTGAAGGAAATCGAAAAGACATTTTAAATCCAGCAAGCATGAAGCAAGCACTGGTTGAGGGGGCTGCGAAGTTTTCTGGTCCCAATATGTATGAGCAGGGTGCTGGCAGAGTTGATCTGTGAGTTCTCCAAGTAACCAGACTCTTAAGCTTTGTTTGGCACATCTTATAAGCTGGCTTTATAACCCCTTTAGGCCGTTTGGGGTTAAAGATTTCCCACGAAAAAGTGAACTTTAGCCACTTAAAAAAGCCTTAAGAAAAGCCAAAAAAGTTCTATGCTCCAAACGAACTAACTTTTTTTAGCATTAGCTTTTTTGTTGGCTTATTTTTAATCAATAAGCTAGCTTTTTAGCTAACTCCTGTTTGGGGTTGGCTTTTTGGCTTTTATTTTTATTTTATTATTATTATTTTTAGAATCTAAAAATACCGTGCCTCCAGGCACGAGCATACGCTAGTCCATTAATAAACAGAGGCATATTCTTATGTTCACTTCATTTAAATTATTTGATGTACTAATTACGCATCATATATCTAATCTTATCTACCAACCTAAAATTCGAATGAAAATATGTGCATATGACTCTTTCTGTTTGAACCTGTTTGTTTTTTATTTTGAAAATATGTTCATATATATATATATATATATATTGTAGATCTATAAATAACACAATAAGTGGTTCATATTTTTGTTCTATTGGCCTGCACATTGTCATGGATGCAGTTTTTCTATAGGTTGATTCGTCATCTTCTTCTTCTTTATTTTTTTGCAGATTTCTGCTACTTTGAAGACATCGATTGGTTAATTCACTCTCTATCAAGGTATTTCTCTATCCTTAAAGTAGTATTGAGTTTTTAATACAGATTGTAGCCAAAATTAGTTTTAATGTTGAATTAATAAAATTAATTTAACTGATTCTGTTTGACTTTTGTTTACTTCATCCTTTTGATGTGAATTTTAATTATAGGTATTTCTCGATCCGTTTGATGTGAATTTTAATCTAACTCAGGTTTGTTAAGGGAACCAGACCATATATGTTCCCTGTTCTGTGTTGGCTAGAACATCTTGGGGGAGAGGTGAAGATCCTTGACAAGGATCTGATATTGGTTAAACTTCACTCATTTCCTCACCTGCAGAATTTTCTTCTTCAAGCTATGTCTCTTAACTGTTATCTCCATTTTTTTTGTTTGCCTCAGGTATGCATTAGATGATATTGGTTCTGGATCTCATGTGCATCTCAGTTTGTGTCAGAGTTGAACCCATATGAATAGGTAGTTTGGTACTAACAGAGAAGTATGCATTTTTACCAGTTCTGTTATAATATCTTGTCTACATAGAATTATTTTTTAAGCATGTAGTTATATTTGGAAATTTAATGGGTGTACTATTGATCTTGAGGAAAACCTTTCACGGTGATGTTTCCATTGATGGGTGTACCAATTTATAATTATTCAGGCTATGTGGTTTCTGCTTTTAAGACCAATAAGTTTTATTGATCCTTATTTGTTTTATAGTTTTTAGTGAGTTATATGTTGATATCATATGATTTTGATTGTCCATATAATACTCCATTTTATCATTTATGTGATCCTTTCTGCATTGTTGCATATTGTCTTCTTTTGTGGTGTTGTTTTACTGATATTTGTGTGGAGAATCAAAATAATTATGTCATTTTTGGTGGTTGTGGGGAAAGGATTGGGGGTAGTTTAACAACTAGATAAATTACATTATTTTTGGTGTGATCTAAATGTAAGTTTATAAATTAATTAGTAAGTTTATTCATATGCTTCTGGCGGTTTTTAAATTAATTTGTTTTTTTATTTTTCAGGTCAGAAATTTCTTGGAGAGATGCAAAATATGGTCAAAGAATTCAAGAACTTACTTTTTTCAAGTTTTTTATTTTTTATTTTTTAATGTATGTAATCACAGTTAATTTTTTTTTTATTAATTTCTTTGTATATACTTTTAAACATTTAACTTTCATTTATGAAATATATGATATTATTTCATTCAATATATGGTTGTGATTCGAAATATAGTATATAGTGTGTATTACATTATTCAAATGTGCGTGCAAAAATAATATTGATTATTCTTTAAATATGTCAATTTTTTTTTTCTCACAGTTTTTTTTAGTTATTAATCACACTTAAAAGGTGTGATTTAAATGTTTTTAATCACACTTAAAAGGTGTGATCTAAAGTCTTTAATCACACTTAAAATGTGTGAACTAAAGTTTTTAATCACACTTAAAAGGTGTGATCTAAATGTTTTTAACTACATTTAAAAGATGTGATCTAAATGTTTTTAATCACACTTAAAATGTGTGATCTAAAATCTTTAATCACACTTAAAAGGTGTGAACTAAAGTTTTTAATCACACTTAAAAGGTGTGATCTAAATATTTTTAATCACACTTAAAAGGTATGATCTAAATGTTTTTAACCACACTTAAAAGGTGTGATCTAAATGTTTTTAATCACACTTAAAAGGTGTGATCTAAATATTATTAATCACACTTAAAAGATGTGATCTAAATGTTTTTAATCACACTTAAAAGGTGTAATCTAAATGTTTTTAACCACACTTAAAAGATGTGATCTAAATGTTTTTAATCACACTTAAAAGGTGTAATCTAAATGTTTTTAACCACACTTAAAAGGTGTGATCTAAATATTTTTAAAAATAAAAAAAAATCAAATTAAATAGTTTTTGAATAAAAAAAAAGTAATGAAATAATTTTGATAATTTATGATTTTCTTATATATATTTATTATTGGTATTTGACAATTTACTTGATAAACTTTTAGTTATGTTGAGTTAGATTTTTATCTAAAAAAAAAAATGTTGATAAATTATTGTATTATGTCAAAATTTATAAAAGTTTAAACCGCCAAACTGATTTGCATTCATTCATCAATCCTCTCAATTCGACAGATGGATGCGAATTGATTTTTTTTAATATGCTAATCCGACAAATAGATGACAGATTGGAGATTCTCTGCAACTGAACCACGAACGCCCCCTAACCATGATGAGTGGTGGTGGTGTCAACAACTCCCTCCTTCAAATTTTTATGGAAAGTGTTAAAATTTTAAAAATAATATAATATACAATGTCAATTTTAAAATTTTTACATATATATTATCATTAAATAAAGATCTAAATTAGTTTAGTGAGATGTTCTCCTCCTCATGTTATGTGATAACTTTATATATGCTAAAAGAAAAAAAAATTAAGTGCATGCCTTCATTTAGTGAAATCTTCTTCTCTTCATATCACGTGACAACTTTAAATTTGTTAAAATAAAAAAATTATTATGCACTGTAAGTAAGTTTGGAACATAAAATTTTGAGTTTTATTAAGTACATACTTATTACTTAAATAACATATATATTATAATATTAAATTATTTATTATTTATTTTTATTATTAGTTATTTGAATTACACACGCATTCCATATACTGTCCATTGATATATTTTAAATGCAAATAGTGTTAGGCTGTGTGGCCGTGGTTTGAATAGATCAATGATTTTATATTAATTAAAAAAATTAATAGATGCTCAAAGTTAAACTTTGTAATTTTAAAAAGTACATCATCTTCCTAAGATTTATAATTGTATTACAAAATACCACTATGTAAGTTGCCTAACAATCAACTAAAGAAATTTGCTTATGTCAATATTTGGCCCCGTTTGGGGATTTACCTTTTTAGTCAAAAAGTCAAAAAGTTACCTTTTTAGTCAAAAAGCCAACAACTCATACCAAAAAGTCAAAGATTCTCTTTTCTCTCTACTTTTTGCACATCTTTTCGTAATTAGCCAAAAAATCATCCCAAACATATAAGTTTTTTTTACTTACTTTTTTAGCTAAATAGCCAAAAAATTACTAAATTAGCCTGTTCCCAAACGAGGCCTTAATACTAACCATTTTAAAATGTCAACCAACACCCCCACCCTTCCTCATCTTTCACCAACACCTTGAACATTTCAACCGCCACTACTGCCACCGTCATTTCCCTTCCTCAACCCTAACCTCTCTAAATCCCTATCTCTCACAACCCTATTAGACACAAAATCTAGGGTAAGGTAAACATTGGGATACGATTTTCCATCAAATTTATTATTGATTCTTCATCCGCGGAAGCACTACCATACTTGATCAACTGGAAATTTTGATCCGAAACCCTTCGATCCCATTACTCCTTGACCCATAAATACTCTGATTTTTAGTGATATGCTTAATACTCTGATACAAATTTTCTTCATCATCGTCAATATCTTCACCGATGGGGATTGAATCGACCGTAATAGAGGTAGAATTTGGATCCTTTTCCATGGAATCCAAGCCATTAAAGTGAACCAAAGAGGAAAATAATAGTTGTTGGGTTTTGCGGTTTGTTGCTAACGTTCATTGAATCTCTTGTGAATCATGATAGTATTTGTCAATCTTCTTCATCTTGCGGTTGCACTGGACGAGAGGTCGTCGATGATTTTTCGCCAATATTGAGAGGGCATAGGGTGGCGAGATCGTCGGCAACCTCTTGCTAGGGAAAGGCGCGAAGGTTGTCTCGCCGGAGAAATTACCAATGACATGGGTTCAACCATCCGCAGCCATTTCATCCAAATCTACTGAAATAGGTCATGCATTGGAAACGAAAATCATAAAGTTGTCGAGGCGAGGTGGGGTCACACAAAAGTGAAGGGGTATTGGTCATTCATAAAGGAGGGTCGGCGTTGTGGATCAAGATCGAAAAATGTTATAATTTTTAAATTTTTTTATTAAATAGATGATTAAATATTTTATATAAATATAAAATTTATAAAAATATAAACTCTACTTTTATATAAAATATTTACTCATTTATTTAATAAAAATATACCGGAGAGAGTGCCACCTCATTAGTGAGGTGAGCTTGCAGTTGAGATTGAAACTTGTCTTCTTGTGGAAGAAAATTAAGTGGGCCAAAGTCTTTTGAGTAAATGACCCACATATATATGTTTTCTTTCCTTTTTTTTTTTTTAATTACTAAAATGATATTTGCATATATATAATTGGAGAAATTTATAGTTACCCTTAAAAAGTGACATTTTTTAAAATAAAATATTGTTTTTAAAGTAAAAATTATAAATTTTTTTTTTATAACTTGTTATGTCACTCCAGATAAAAGTTAATTATGAATAATAAATTTATAATGTGCATATTAAAGTGAAAGTTATAAATAATTCTTATTTATATTATCAATGCTATGATTATGAATGATGCATACATGATATAAATCATTTGTAGTGAGAAATATTGCGAATTACTTTAGTTGAAAAAGTTATGATTTTTTTGTTGTGTTTATTATGGAATGTTATGATTATATTACGTATGTCATGGAGGGATGCATACAATAATAAAATTCTTTTCTTATTTTATATTAAAATTTATTATTTTATAGTGTTAATTTTCTATTAAATTAAAGGGAAATTTGGCTATAAACCCCTTTTACCTTCATTTCATTGTTAAAAGGACTAAGAAAAAAATTATACTTTCTAAACCCCCTCATAATTATAAAATCTTGCATAAAGGACAAAATTTATTATTTAAATATTTTATATGACTATTATACCCACTCTCTTTCTCAACAAAAATACAAAAATACAAAAAATAAATAAATAAAATAAAATAAAATAAATAACCAGAAAAACAAAATTTGTCCTTCTTTCCTTCATATAGGTGAAATTAGCGAATACTGTTAGCCATATATATGTGTATGTGTGTGTGTTTGTGTGTTTTGAGTTTTGAATTCGAATATATAGATTTTTGAAAGCTCAAAGTTTTAAAAATCTGTAAAATCTGAAAAATCTGAAGAACCGGGGTATGAAAAATTGAGATTTCTCTAAAATTTTCAGATTATAGGCCTGATTCAAGGATTATAGGCATGATTCAATATTTTTCAAAGTAAACATCGATTGATTTAAGGATTATAGGCCTGATTCAAAGCTCAAAGCTCAAAGTTACTGTGGAGTGTTTTGCTTTGTTCGTGAGAGGTTTGGAGGTTGTTGAACACGTGTTCAATTCTAGGAATTTTTTGTTTGTAAGCTCTAAAAGGTGAGCATCACTAATCCAGAATATTGAATTTTAATTCTATTAAATATTGTCTAAGTTTTATCACCATCATGGTTGCATTCCTCATTCA